GTCTATTTAAGGAGATAAAGCATTTTGACTTTTCAAACTGTGCACAGTGTTGTAATTCTGGCAGTGCTACTACAGGGATAAGAATTAGACTTTTAATATAGGCAACTGAGCCACAATAAGACAAGTATAATGTGCCTGTTTGTTTGAGATTATGTAAAAATGTGATGGTTTACTACACTGACTGTTGTCATTATTATTTATTAAAATGAAGAGTGTTTAAATAAGGACTTCTTTGTAGTTTATTTAAATAATTTTCAATAACTTCGCCATCATTTTTAAACATTGCTACGCAAGAGTATTCATCCCCTTTGTACTTTATCCTTCATCACATAAGTTCAAAATCCGGTGAATGGAAAACACTACATGTGGCGGATAACTAACACTGCACATGATGCTGAACACACCATTCCGTCTGTGAAACACGGTGGTGGCAGCATTATGCTGTGGGATTGTCTTTAACGAGCAGAAACAGGTCAGCCTGGTCAGAGTTGAAGTGAAGATGGATGGAGCTAAACGCAGGGCAATCAGCTTGATGTCTGAGCCAAATTCACAAATGCGCCCGAATTTATACGCAGATCAGAAGCCATACAAGTATGTAACTTAAATACCTTGCTGAAGAGCACATCAACTCAAGTGAAGAAGCCGGAAATGAAACCACAACTCTCCGACTGCAAAACAGATAGTCTTCCTGTTGAGTCTTAGTCTACAATAGGGCGGTTTCCATCAAAGCAGTCAAAATCTGGAGTTTATGATGTGACAAAATGAGGAAATGTTTAAGGGGTCCAGATACGTCTGCAAGGTCCTGATTTACATTGAGTACACTGTTTTTGTGAGGTTCCAGGTTCTTCTGGTGAATTTTATTGTTTAGCCCCTGAAATCTTACTGGTCTTATATTGGTAACGCACGTCATTAGACCATACCAAAGCAAAACAGGTCAAACTAAACAACAAAATCTAAACAAAGAAACATGGATAAGATTATTAATCTAATTTACAAGCTAATCCACCTAACTAAGTGGTCTGCCAAATAAAACATTTAATACAGGGCAACTCAAAAGGTTGCTTTAAAGAAGAGAAAAAAGAAAACGATCCAAAACAAACTTCCTCCATTTGGTAAAACCCAATCAGTGACGTCATAGACCTATTTAAGCAAGAAATGCTGGCGGATCCTTCCTACACATCTGGTCAGGCTGTAGCATCTACAGACACGAACACGTAGACGTCTCATGGAGAGGGTCGGCCCGTTGCTGCGACACGTCACAGCGTCCGCCATATTGAATGTGGAATATGTGCCAGTCAGCTAATACAGGTAAATGGACCGAACTTTATAAAGTGCCGTTCTACAAAGTATCTTAAGTTAATTTCTGCCTTTGACACATTTTCTCACGCACACTAATATATTTGGTAATCAAAGAAATGACTAAAGACAAGAGTTCGTAGCATCTTTATAGCTAAATACCGACATGGTGAAGCTGAGCTGGGAAACAGACTGAAGAACAGCAGCTCCAGCTCTGAACCTGACTGATCTTTCCTCACTAAATCCTCTGGTTTTTAATGAACTTCCCCTCTAACAGCGGTTTTTCATCAGCTCTCTCTCATTAGAAAACAGTGTGAAAACGTTAGCGGCTACGCTAACAACCAGCGGTTACTTCGGCCAATTTAGATAATTAGAAAATATTTCTCGGTTGTTTAGAAGCGAATTTCTGGCTGCAAAGTCAAGTGATTCTGATCTTTAATCCTTACCTGTGAAAGGTAATGCCAGTGAATCCAGTTTGTTTCGTAAAACGGTTGAAACAAGTTCACACAGCACAGGACTTAAGGAGCTCCGATCGCTCTGCTGCCACATACAAGATGGCGTAT